AGGAGGTGATATATCCATATTATTTCACACGCAGCTTGTGCCATGGCTCTATATTCAGACTCAGCACTAGAACGAGAGACAACGTTCTGCTTCTTGCTCTTCCACGAAATCAGATTCCCACCCACAAAGACACAATAACCGGAGGTGGACCTACGATCATCCTTCGACCCTGCATAATCTGCATCTGCATAACTTTCAATGTTCATGTGACCGTGATTTGAATAGACAATACCACGACCGGGAGTTCCTTTCAAGTAACACAGAATATGTTCCACTGCAGCCCAATGATCAATTGTTGGGGATGCCATAAACTGACTTACCACGCTAACAGGATAAGCAATGTCTGGGCGGGTCACAACCAAGTAGTTCAGTTTACCCACTAATCTTCTGTATCTCTCTGGATCACTGAATGATTCACCGTCTTTCGTTAATTGCATGTTAGGAACCATAGGTGTATTACATGGTTTGGATGCGAGCTTTCCTGTCTAAGACAACAAATCAAGCACATACTTCCTCTGTGTAAGCAATATACCTTTCTTGCTTCGCAAAACTTCAACCCCTAGAAAATACTTCAACGGTCCAAGATCCTTTGTCAGAAACTGACTATGGACAAATGTCTTGAGTGATGAAATACCTGCAAAATCATTTCCTGTAATAATGATGTCATCTACATAAACAACCAGTAAGATGATTCCACCCCTAGATCGCTTATAAAAGACAGAATGATCAGATTGGCCTTTCACCATTCTGAACCGCTCGATTACTTGGCTGAATTTGCCATACCATGCACGAGGACTTTGTTTTAGTCCGTATAAAGATTTATGCAGCCGACATACCTTCCCATTCTCCCCCTGATCAACAAACCCTGGAGATTGCTCCATATAAACCTCTTCCTCAAGAGCACCATGAAGAAACGCATTTTTGATATCTAATTGATGCAACGGCCAATCATGACACACAGCCATAGAGATGACAAAGCGAACAGAAGTGAGCTTGGCAACTGGAGAGAAAGTCTCATCATAATCCACACCATAGGTTTGAGCATATCCTTTGGCCACTAATCGAGCTTTGAGGCGAGCCACAGACCCATCTGGATTAACCTTAATAGAGAAAACCCACTTGCAACCTATAGATTTCTTGCCGATCGGCAATGAAACTAGACTCCAAGTATGATTTTGCTCCAAGGCTTTCATCTCTTCTATCATGGCAGTACGCCATTCGGGATGAGAGAGTGCTTCTCTGACAGTTTTAAGAAGGGGGACAGAATCTAGAGAAGAGGTGAGTGCACAAGCAGTAGAAGACAAATGATCATAAGAGACACAATTAGAAATAGGGTAGGTGCAATACCGCTTACCTTTGCTCAAAGTCATGGGTAGATCATCAGCATGATCAGGATCCAACGACGAAGTGCTCGACTCAAGGCGTGAGACTGGTGTAGGGGTAGGTGGTTGATCAGTCAATGTGGCATGTGGCAGGAAGAGATTCAGGGACAACTGAAGGTGCAATTGAATTTTTCCTGCGGGAGTAAACCTGAATGATGGGAGGCACACCAGTAGAGGGCATTGTAGCACTAGAGGTAGTGTAAAATAAAATGACACCAGAACCCTCCCCCTCATTTACAAAATTTGTAGGTGAAGAAAAAGGAACATGCTCATGGAAACTCACATCGATGGAGACAAGATATCGACCAAGACTAGGACAATAACAACGATATCCCTTTTGAACCCGGGAGTACCCCAAAAAGATGCACTTCAAGGATTTTGGGTCTAGCTTAGTGACAGATGGACGAACATCCCTTACAAAACATGTACACCCAAAGATCTTTGGTGGGACTGGAAAAATAGGTTTATCAGGGAAGAGAATATGAAATGGTGGCTGGCGACCAAGGACACTCGATGGAAGGCGATTAATCAAGAAACATGCCGTGGCAACGGCATCAGCCCAAAACATCTTGGACACTTTTGATTGAAACAAGAGTGTTCAAGCAGATGTCAATTTTTGCGTTCAGCTCCTCCATTTTGGGCTGGAGTATCCACACAAGAAGTTTGGTGGAGAATGCCATGGTCACGCATGTAGGCTTGGAAGGGGCTGGAAAGATATTCTTTAGCATTATCACCACGCATAATTTTAAGAGGCATATTAAATTGGGTTTGGATTTCAGCACAAAACGAACGAAAGTGAGAAAATAACTCAGAACGAGATTTCATTAAATAGAGCCAAGTCATACGTGAATAGTCATCAACAAAAGTAACAAAGTACCGGAATCCGGGTTTTGACACAACCGAGCAAGGACCCCAAACGTCAGAATGAACCAACTCAAAAGGAGCACTTGCCCGTAGATTTATTCTAGGACTCAAACTAACACGATGGTGTTTAGAAAAACGACATGATTCACACTCTAAAACAGAGAGATGTTGAAATTGAAGATAAATTTTCTTTAACAAGGACAAGGATGGATGACCAAGACGATAATGAATCTCAAGAGGTGACTCAATCCCAACACAAGCAGCTGCTTTAGGAATGGAAGTGTTGAGAAGATACA